TGGTGGACATCAGCGTGAATATATGGTCATTACATTGACTTCCTTTGGTAAAGCCTACAATGACTTCCTTTGGTAAAGCCTAATGACCTTGTTCAGTTCCATCAGGTATGCCGAAAAATTCAAACAATAGTTGAAGACTGGTGGGCCCTGTATATCACCTTGCCCAGTACCCGAGTTGACATCAAACCAACCTGTAACCTCTCCATTGACCCTAACAGCACTAACTGTGTGAATAAAGAATGCCTTCATGATTCTAATGTACTTGTCAGGTAAGCCGTAGTGCTGCATACTTCTCCAAATGAACTGCCTGTCAATTGAATCAAAAGCTGCTTTGAAATCAACAAAATGAATATACACCAATATACAGGGTGGGCCAAAAGTCAGTACCCATACGTTGGCCTTAATAGCTCCGCCGTGTTTTATACTTGAGAGCTGTTGCTTTGCAGATGGCATACTGTACTTACTGGTTCGAGGATTCCGTCGTCAAAATTTGAAAATTCGAATATTTTAGACCACGCCCATTCAATATTAAAACACCTATATTGTTTTCTCTGAACATGCTGAACGCCTAATTTTTTCAGAGGCGGTAGATTATCAAATGTTGCATATGATCTGAAAACATGAGGCAAAACGGATTAGAAATGACGAAGTTATCAAGCATTTTGTGTATCTCGTTAACAAAATTGACTGGGTGATTATGTGACACCGTGACACGACACCTTAATTGGGCACCCTTAACAATTCCCATAATGTTTAACGGGGTAGTTAACGGGGTCACCTTATTACGTGATTAGGTAAACCAATCACCTGATCACACGTAATGAATAAACTCGTTATGCTTCATATCTCGGTCATCTGAGAAGCTACAGTTCTAATTCTTTCAGGACAAACGTAATTCGAATGGCCAAACACAATTCAATAATATTTAGCTTGATCCGACTATCCAAACTATCAAATAAATGTGAAAATGAACCTCCATTTGAAAAAAATGAACGCGAATATTTTTCGAGTTGACAAATTCCTCGAACCAGTGGTGGTACTAAGTCATACCAGAAAGAAGTATTTAAATTGGGCACTCTGTGACTTATCTATAAAGGTCAACGTATGGGTACTGACTTTTGGCCCACCCTGTATTATACTTAATTTTTCCATGCCATTACTAAGTCTCCGCAGGAGTATCATCTGCAGGAGATTGAGGCTGTGGATGTTAATGTAATTCCTCTGTTGTTAGCGCAATGAGAGGTGTCACCCTTTTCATCTTCCCACACTTTCTTGAACAACAAAACTAGTTGATCAACCAACCCATCCTGTCCATACTTAATGTAAGTTGCTCGTTGGTGATAGCATCCTATCCTAGACTTTTGTGATTGTTGAGTTTTTTGACGGCATCAACAATCTCGTTTCTTGTAGGAGCCTCATCCGAATCGGAAAGGTCGTCAAAACTGGGTTGTGGAGGGATGTTGTCTAGCTCAGAAATATTGGCCTCTTGGGGGGGGGGGGGGGGGGGAGGGTTCAAGAGCATAGAGAAGTGCTCTTTCCACCTTTCTTTTTGGGCATGTGGGTCGGCAATCAACTGGCCAGATACGTCTCTAACTGCAGTTGACAACGACTGCTTTTTCTTCTTTCCAGATATGACATTGATCTTCTGCCATGCCTCGCGTTGCTGACCTTTTCTCGCAGCTTCTTCCAAGTCATCGGCCATTCTAAGTGCCCAGTTGTTATCGTCCACCTTGCTACTTTTTTTAAAGAGCTTATTCAATCTAGAATACTCTGACCTGTTAGCGTTCGAATTAGGGTCTTTACACGCTTAAATTCCTTACGGTTCTTCAATAACTCTTTTGTCTTCTGAGATTGGTGCCTGTCCTTATTTTTTTGAGGTCTTTCCCCAAGGATTACCATGGACACTTGTGCGACAGTTGTCTTGAAGTTGTCCCACATTTATTCCAGGTCAACCTCAGGTTCCAAACAGTTAAATTTTATACAAACGCACCACTGTACAATTGAGCGCTACATAACTACCAACTTTGTGTTAAATTAAATGTTTGTTAAATTCATTGAATTTTCTTCTCACTCTTTTGAATTTTACTTGGAGATCCAAGGTTTTGTGTTTATAGACACACCGATTGAAGATGATGTAGTATGGTACAGTACTATATTTATAATTTAAAAAATTTAAAAAAAGGGTTACCCCCAACCCATGTAGCTGAGACACATCACAGCAAGTAGACCAAAGTGGCTCTTGCTTGTGAAAGGTGTATCAACTACCGCTGAAGAGGTGGGTTGAGAGTCCCCCCTAGTTGCTGGTAACATTTCGTCCGTAACATTTCGTATAATATAAAAGCTACAATAAATTATCTATAAAATTTACATAAACAAACTTAAGGGGGCCGGGGGGTCTTCATCAAAATTCTCTCGAAATTGACTTTATAGTTGTTTCTGGTAGAGGGGAGTGATATCTACCAGCTGCTTTTGTCCCATGGAAAAATATTGTTCCTAGCCGAAATTATCGCCGGTCTAAGGTCAGCACTTATGTGTAATTGTATTGCGCGAGCGATTTTCAATCGCAAATTCTGAAAATCGAGTCTAAAAATCTATCTCCTCCTACATTTTTTGAGCAATCACCCTGAAACTTTCAGGATATGTTCTAGGGACCATTTAGAAGATTTGATCGAGCCAAAATTTTGAGATAGGCCTTTGAAAAATTTTTATTCAATTTTGAAAATCTTGGACCTGAAAAAATCGTAAAAAAACGAGGTCCAAGATTTTCAAAATTGAATAAAAAATTTTTAAAGGCCTATCTCAAAATGTTGGCTCAAACAAATCTTCTAAATGGTCCCTAGAACATATCCTGAAAGTTTCAGGGTGATTGCTCAAAAAATGTAGGAGAAGATAGATTTTTAGACTCGATTTTCAGAATTTGCGATTGAAAATCGCTCGCGCAATACAATTACACATAAGCGCTGACCTTAGACCGGCGATAATTTCGGCTAGGAACAATATTTTTCCATGGGACCAAAAGCAGCTGGTAGATATCACTCCCCTCTACCAGAAACAACTATAAAGTCAATTTCGAGAGAATTTTGATGAAGACCCCCCCCCCCCCCCCCCCCCGGCCCCCTTAAGAGAACTCATAGCTCGTCTTCTGAAGTATGAGATTGAAGGATACCTCTGCATTCAGTCCAAGGTGCTGGCTTTTTTGTCTTCTTCTGATTTTCCTGAGTTGTGAGTGCTATGAGTGTGCTTTGTAGCAGATCAAACCTGAATCGTGTCCTGATGTGATTTTTGACCTGGCTCTTAGCTTCTTTATTGTGGTCAGCTATCATCTCAGAGATACTATCTATGAACACAGTGCAGAGTGGTCCATTCCTCCAGATGTTGCAAAGACTAGTGGGACAAAGGACCCTTTCTCTGACTGAAGAACTCTCTCTTCATAGAGATTTTTCAGCAGTTAGCAGCAGTGAGTAGCAGTTGAGAAAAGACAATTTTGAGAAAAGACAATTTTATTATTTATCACCAATTCAATACATAATCAATAAATATATATCCGAATAAATTTGATTTAAAATTCAATGATACAAGTATGCTAGCAGCTAGCACGCTTGTATTAAACAATATACACGCTGTTAAAATGGGTCTTACCACACCGCCACTCACATTAGCACAGTTGGTGAACGGACCCAGGCGCTGTTAAGCTTTTATGAGCCCTGGTTTACTGCTGAGAGTGGTGACGGGTCTGACATTAATTTTATCTTAGTTTTCCCTATATTCCAGTAAAATTTTAGTTTGAGTTAAATGATTTTTATGCGATATTTAAATAACAGCTGCTTGCAATACATTACGTATTGCAATACATTACGTATTGCTTAAAATTTGTTAAATATGCTCGCTATACACTTAACTTTTAGATATACCATATGTATATGTACATATTAGCTCATAATACCAAATAACAATAATAAATAATCAAAAGCATGAAGAGGTCCAAAACCAATTCAAGCATGACACCAAGTTGAACACATTGTCATCGGAAGCTGCAAGCTTATTAACATTTGATTCCATGTAAATCCGTTATTATGCAGTCACCTTCACGCGGTGTCGACGGATCATGCGAAAAGGGTTTTTGACAGGCTGTGCCCTTCCATAATTGTACTGAACCATTGCCTGATACGATGTAAACATGAGTGTTGGATAAGTGAGCCGCGCAAGCGCTCGCGCGCGCATTTGTGATCTGTATATTGTTTAGTGAAAATAATATAGAATTTGAACATGAGAGAGAAATTATATAATGAATATGTCTTTATCTGCCAAAATTAAACTGTTTCAATGTTCTAATAATCCGATGCTTCTATTTTTCACTTTAAGTGCAGTGGAAGAATAACGGTTCTAAGTTCAGATAATTATCTCGTAGACAAAGAATTAATAAAGTTTCTGATAATAATAGTTATAACTTTATAATCTCTACTATAATTCAGAGAATTATTTTTGTCTGTATGTATGTATGTACGACCGCCCACGTGCAAATTAAACGAGAAATAGGAATTTAGGTAACAACCAAAAGGTTCCATAGCAACGGTGTTTTAATGCACACATGCACGTGCAAAGATTGTTTTAACGTCATTTTGATCAGTTTTGTGGTGATTACGTTGTGTTTAAAGTGTTTTATATTTAAATCGGCTGTATCTTCGGTCGGGATGGATCTTTTTTGATGCGATTAAAACTTTCTTTCAAAGAATACTACTAGCTTCGTCCCTGTTACCACGGGCTTTCTAGTAATATTTATAATAATAACTGATAATAATAGTTATAATCATAGTTATAATAATAACTGATAATAATAACTGATAATAATAGCTGATAATAATAGATATAATAATAACTGATAATAATAACTGATAATAATAACTGTTAATAATAACTGATAATAATAACTGATAATAATAGATATAATAATAACTGATAATAATAACTTACAATAATAGTTATAATAATAACTGATAATAATAGTTATAATAATACGACGGAAAGCTGAGGGAGTGAGAATGTAGACATCCACAAAGATGAGATTAGTGACCTGTCTTTACATTGCCCTAGCATGTAAGTATTGCAATAAAGTATTGAGTTATAAGTGCAGTTCAGCATAACTTCTGTAGTAGCAGTTTACTAGGTCATGTAATGGGGCTATTGTTTAATCAAGTTTATTGTCCTAAACGAACAACCATCAAACAGGAGCTTTATTCTGATAGCGTTACAAGATTTATTTAATTGCAGATAATATTCACTTATCCTGTTGGGAATGTGTCGTACCAGCAGCTGTTTTAAGCTTTATAATAAATTTATCCTCAGGTATCTGCCTGGTTGAAGTTGCTCAGACTGATCTAGTGGATGGTGAGACAGTTCCAGATATACCAAATACTGAGGACAGTGTTCTGCCAGATAAACCAGCTGTTCCTTCAGATAGTCCAGCTAAGGGAGTAGTAGTTCTGCCAGATGAACCAGCTGAGGGAGTAGAGCTAGAGGATGAGGTACAGGATGATGTAGTAAAAGAGGGAGTGGGGGAGGACGCCGGTTCTGATCCAACTAAAGTAGACGATATAAATAGTGGCTCAGATGATGTCGCTATAAAAAGTGAAGTAGAAGCTGAAGAGAGTGAAACAGATGAAAAAGAACCTGAAAGTGAAACTAATGAGCAACAGAAAGATGAAAATGATCAAAAAGGAGAAGAGGGGATAACAGATAAGAAAGATGACCTGAATGACAATCCACAAGTTGTGGACCCAGATACGATCTCCGAGGAGACTGATGCCCGGTTCCACACTGTCAAGTTAATGCTTTATATTGTAAGTGTTCGGAGGAGTTGGATGGGGTAATAATTTCCTACTTGGCTTACATATTTTGTGTTGCTCAATAGATTATAATGATCAGTAATCTTTTGTGAACAAGATGTTTGATAACTAACTGCTCTTCAGATAGCTCCAGTGAGTGCGTTAGTTGTTATCTACTTCATTATGAAGGGTCTGAAAGGAAACAGTCACATGTTTCTCAAGTAAGTTGTTGCTTTAAATTTTGCGCGTGCTAGATCCGCCTTTAATTAAATCGAGAGCACGTTTCCTTGATTTGTGTATGCGATTTGTATGCGATTTCACCCCTGTATGCGATTTGTGTTCCGGGGTATTTGGAACAGGTTGAGGGTTTTAAATAGTTAGTACCTGTCCCAAACCATCATAAAAATCAAGTTTCGACCTCCCAACCCACTCAGGCCACTCCCAGGGGCCACGCCCATCCCAAAATAGCTGAAATCCTGGTAAAATCAAGATTGAAAATCTTTACCCCCGTATGCGATTTATGTTCCGGGGTAGGTGGCCCATGTTTTAGTATAAACTTATAAAAATGGGTACTGCCTATCCCAAACCATCATAAAAACCAAGTTTCGACCTCTCAAACCACTCAGGCCACTCCCAGGGGCCACGCCCATCCCAAAATAGCTGAAATCCAGGTCAAATCCCATACAAATCCAGACTGAGAATCTTTACCCCCGTATGCGATTTATGTTCCGGGGTAGGTGGCCCATGTTTTAGGATAAAAATGGGTACTGCCTATCCCAGACCATCATAAAAACCAAGTTCCGACCTCTCAAACCACTCAGGCCACTCCCAGGGGCCACGCCCATCCCAAAATAGCTGAAATCCTGGTCAAATCCCATACAAATCCAGACTAAGAATCTTTACCCCCGTATGCGATTTATGTTCCGGGGTAGGTGGCCCATGTTTTAGTATAAAAATGGGTACTGCCTATCCCAAACCATCATAAAAATCAAGTTTCGACCTCCCAACCCACTCAGGCCACTCCCAGGGGCCACGCCCATCCCAAAATAGCTGAAATCCTGGTAATCACAGCATTAGAAGGGTCTTCTCAAATTCAGTAGCGTAGCGCGCGATGATTTTGTGGAGGGTGTAATTCATTGCACGTACTTAAATTTGTAGATATTATGATTAATTCGATTAAATGAAGAACTGAACATGAGATCACCGAGCCATGTGGCAGTTATCTGTTTAGCTCTCGTTGCTCAAGAAGGCTCTGAAACGTGGCAGTTTAGCTCAGCACAATACTAGATCCTAAATATTACAAGGTTTAGTGCATCACAATGAGAGTGATGCAGAATAATCATCTCCTGTCAATTAACCCAAGTACTAAAGTAGTATAATTAGTCCGATAAGTATTTAGTATTAATATTAATTGAAACTATGAGTATAATCAGATCAGTATTCAATAACGGTAGGGTCACTGACCCTTACTCAAAAGTTGTCTACCCTTAGTAAGTGGGCTTCCTGGATAGTGGATACTGTTATTACTGCCCTTATCAATTCAACATCGTTTTTGACCGGATGATTAGCGGATAAATATCTTTAAACACAGTAAAACCTCTAAACTGCGACTTAAGATATGATTTCTGTCAACTGAAATCTCACGAAAGTGTTCTAATCTGTCGTCTGCCTCGCAGTCGATATCACATCGTGGGCGCTCGTGGAGACAATATCGAGCTGAGACCTCTTGGTTACGAGAGCGACGACGAGGAAGACATCGTGTTCGACTCAGCCAGACAGACTTGATCAGTTAATGTTGTTTAATACATATGTATACCAAGTTACATAACAGTTAATGTTGTTTAAGGTGAACCCGGATACTTCTGAAAAATACAACCTTCTCCTCAGCCTCATCTAAGGAGCCCTACTAAAATTAAGATATTGTAACAAATGACTGCTGAATAGCCGGGAATGTTTTTATAATGATTCGTATAACGCATGTACATTCATAATATATAATCATCCATCATTCAAGTTTATATTGAACTCATCGTTTTTAAAATATTGTTTGTGGATTGTATTTGTTCGTATAGGGTGACTGGAAGTGTTTTGATAATAATTAGATACTTTTAAATAACTAAACCGTCAAACATCTATCAGAAACTCACCTATAAATGTTACATTCGTTAACCCTGACATGTATACATTGCATAAGTGTATAAAGTAAAAGGAGGAAGTAAAATGCTCCATAATCGTTACCCACGGCATTCTTTGCTGTTTCCTTTTCGTCATTCTTATCTTCTATTAAATGAACATTTATGAAATACAACACTCATTTGAAATTTAAGAAGACTTGACGTAATCATGTGCTCGTTTTGTTAGCTTCTTATTATCACAATTCACAACTACCATTGTAATAAATACACTAGTACTTACACTGCGTTCTTGATGTTTCCGAGGGTTTTAGCAAGTATTTTCTCAGTGTGACATAAACTTATGCCTCTTAAGTTTAAGTACTATCTTGGAAAAGGTCCCTTCGATGATTCTGCGATTTAACCCGTGTCCCGTGTTTAAGAACTAAAATATGTTTTCGTTGATTTTGTACTGTAACTTCTCAGATTGTTGATAGTTTTTGATTTATATATGTAGTTAGCATTCAGTTCAACATCGACCAATTGAGATCAGAACCAGCAAAATGTCAAATTTCCATACCTGGCGGGGAGTATAAGGGAGGTGGGGGAGGGGAGGAGGGGGGGCTTAAAGTATATTTGAGCATTTTATCTAACCTCGAACCAAATTTTGATCGAAAACCTTTGAGCTGTTCAAACATGCGACGAGTTCGATGTTTCACTGTTTTGAAGTTAAATAATAAGTTTTATTTTCCAAATCTTTAATGAACTAAATCGTGTTGTTGTACCGCTCTGATTAACAATAGAGTGTATTTTAAGATTGCGTTTGTTAGATTGTTATAATTTTATACAATACAATGTTTAAGAATAAACGTATTTCATTTGGTCTTAGCAACTGCGTGTATATAAAAACAGAAGGTGGAATAGAGCCCACAGTATTTTTAAAATTCAAAATTTCAGTGCGTTCAATTACTATTCCTTCTAGTTTCTACAATCCTCCACATAAGTCAATACCTGCTCGGTTAATAAGGAGGACAGATCATGGTCGAGAGTGGTGAAGCTTCTGAGGCAGATTCTTTGGCTCTTTTCACCGCATACTCTCTAATTATAATAGGTAAGTAAAAGGAGAGAGCTGTATGCTAATACAGCCGATAAGAGGGCGGGGGTCTGGAATGGACAGATCACTGAATGTTACGAATATTCTTACTAATAAATAATAATATTACGAATATTTGAACGATCCTTCAGTTCTAACACTCCTGTCTACTGTCTAGGTTGTGTGGGCGTTATCCTTCAGTTCTAACACTTCTTTCCAGGTTGTGTGGGCGTTATCCTTCAGTTCTAACACTCTTGTCTAGGTTGTGTGGGCGTTATCCTTCAGTTCTAACACTCCTGTCCAGGCTGTGTGGGCGTTATCCTTCAGTTCTAACACTCCTGTCCAGGTTGTGTGGGCGTTATCCTTCAGTTCTAACACTCCTGTCCAGGTTGTGTGGGCGTTATCCTTCAGTTCTAACACTCCTGTCTAGGTTGTGTGGGCGTTATCCTTCAGTTCTAACACTTCTTTCCAGGTTGTGTGGGCGTTATCCTTCAGTTCTAACACTCTTGTCTAGGTTGTGTGGGCGTTATCCTTCAGTTCTAACACTCTTGTCTAGGTTGTGTGGGCGTTATTCTTCAGTTCTAACACTCTTGTCTAGGTTGTGTGGGCGTTATCCTTCAGTTCTAACACTCCTGTCCAGGTTGTGTGGGCGTTATCCTTCAGTTCTAACACTCCTGTCTAGGTTGTGTGGGCGTTATCCTTCAGTTCTAACACTCCTGTCCAGGTTGTGTGGGCGTTATCCTTCAGTTCTAACACTTCTTTCCAGGTTGTGTGGGTGTTATCCTTCAGTTCTAACACTCCTGTCCAGGTTGTGTGGGCGTTATCCTTCAGTTCTAACACTCCTGTCCAGGTTGTGTGGGCGTTATCCTTCAGTTCTAACACTCCTGTCCAGGTTGTGTGGGCGTTATCCTTCAGTTCTAACACTCCTGTCCAGGTTGTGTGGGCTTTATCCTTCAGTTCTAACACTCCTGTCCAGGTTGTGTGGGCGTTATCCTTCAGTTATAACACTCCTGTCTAGGTTGTGTGGGCGTTATCCTTCAGTTCTAACACTCCTGTCCAGGTTGTGTGGGCGTTATCCTTCAGTTATAACACTCCTGACCAGGTTGTGTGGGCGTTATCCTTCAGTTCTAACACTCCTGTCCAGGTTGTGTGGGCGTGACCCTGAACAGCTTCTTATTGGCATTTCTGCTTCACAGTCTGTACAAGCAGCGGATTATCGCTCAGAAGATTGTCTACATCAACCTCGCTATCTCCAACTTAGTCTTCTCTCTTGTTGCTTGTCTCATTAGGGGACCAGGTAAGATTTAAATAATTCTGAATATTGAGATTGTGGGACTAAATGAGCTGCTTAGGAATGTTCTTTCGATAATATCAGCACCAGCAAAGAAGTTCAAATAAAAAGCTTCTTTCTTCCTTCCTACTTTAATTTGGAATTTATTTGATCTCATAAATTAATCACACAGTCGGAAAATTCACTTCCAATTATTGTGCAGGCTTGTTCCTCCAGAAGCTGTTTGACAACCGGGGTTTCTGTGTGGTTACTACTTACATTGTTTCCTTCTGCTCAAAAGTGGATTTGTTGGTGATCGTGCCTATCACTCTATCCATCTTAGTCGTCACGGGTAATATGGCCTCTTTAAATCTGGACTTATGTTATAGAACTTTTATCCCAAACTTCAGCATGGTACAGTTTACGGTGTATTGTGTAATCTGTTTGACGACTTTGGTTGAATTTCGACAAGTTCTTTTTTATCACAGTCACGTAATTTACCGCCTAATCTGATGGTAACTTTGATGATAGAATAAGAGCCCTTATCTAAGATTTGTCTCACTAACATTATGATTTTCAGTGAGAGGATTTGACCGCTGCACCAACTGGTTCATGATAAAACTCAGCTTAGTCTCCTGGCTAATACCGGCTCTCTTTCTCACCTCCTTCACAATAAAGGGTCACATCACACCCCACAGTTTCTACATCCAATACAGCAACAAATCACGCCGCTGTGACTTCACGGGCACGTCCCACCCCGCGTACATGACCTCCCAGTCAGTGTTGTTCTTCTACACCCCGACTGTGGTGTGTGCTGTAATGTACGTGATAGTGGGCTACTACCACACCAAGTACCAGGTACCGGGCGTTCTGAGGTTAACCAGACGGGGCTGCTTTGTTACCTTCTTCTACTGTGCCTGCTGGTTGCCCTTCATGGTGGTGTCCTCCTACTACCGGGGTGTGGTCTCCAGTCAGGTCTTCGTCTTCACCTACCTCTTCTACTACTTCTCAGTTGTGGTAAACCCCCTCACATACACCCTTACCTCTCAGTTCTTCTTGAGACGTGTCAGGAGCTTGTCTACTTACCACATTTCTCCTGTTATTGTTAATGAAGCCACTGATACTGGACCTCATGTCAGGGTGGGACACAGTGGGATGGACTCTGATGATGAGGTTGGGAGTGGGGTGGATATGATTTCTCGTGCCCCAACATCTGTGCAGTTTTAATGGTTGTTCATTACGTATTATGAGAATTTTCATTTTACCGCCAAGAATAATACCAATTCAAAAGTTTTAAAATCTAAATTTTATTAAACTTACTCTTTAATCATGTAGGATACGAAAGAGGGTGCTAGATAAGTTTTTAAAATCTGGTTTCTTGGATGGGTGAAGCGAAGGTGATATTGGGTTAAAATGTCAAAGGTAAATTTTGTTAATTGGAGGTTTATTTGTTTGAGCAATGTTACACAGTGTTTGGTAATAGAATCAAGAATAAGTAATCAAAAATGTAGATGTTTCAGAAAGCAGCCTAAAAATTAAATAATTGTGCGTTTACACCTGAATAAAATTGCTATAATTAATAAAGTACTAATGCTACATCAGATTTTCATTACACTTAAATCAACCTCAAACGAGTAAACACTTTCAATTAATCTAACAATTTATATTGATTTAATATGAATTCGATTGTTCGTGTATTTAAACTGTCAAAATTTCTACAAAATCCAAGACATTTCAAAGTTTTTCGTCGTCCCTGAAAACTTCACCCTCATCATTAAGATTAGCTCGCAGAGTTTTATCCTTGGTTTCGGGAAGTCCTAACGTTAGTAGTATAGCGACTCCGCACAGCAACACACACAAAGAGTTGAGCAGGTAGTAGCTCGAGTCGTTACAAGCCTTAACAAGGTATGGTGCTATGAAGGCTCCGATTCTAGCACATATGGAACACATATGCAGTCCAGTTGATCGGATAGAGGTCGGCATCACCTGATTATTAAACTGTAAACGTTAAATTAATTGAAATTTTAAACTCTAATAAATTCATTTTGTAAACGTATCTCTACTTTAAAGAGCTATAATAACATCAAGACATTAATTCTGTAACATATACCTCGTTAGTGTACATATAGACTATCATGAACATGGCGGCCACCCCCCACTTGGAGCCCACAATAGAGGCCACTCTCTTCACGGTCCAGGCTCCAACCAAGCTCACTTTCAGAAGAGAAAGTCCGCAGCAAATCATTACCAAAAGTAGGTTCACAAAAAGAGTTTTTCTTCTCCCGATCTTGTCCATCATGACCGCTGTTGCGGCTGCCATGGGCAACTGAAGGATTTCGTTTTATTTCCAATATATTATAATTTACTAGCTCCATCCCCCCCCCCCCCCCGCCCTCACTAGCTCCTTATCAAGACTACACACCGATTACCGTTCTAATGTACGGTTAATCTGGGTTTTAATGCACTTAGATAGTATAATGCAGAGTTAGTTTGAAGTGGTAAAAATAAAGTGTCCTAACCTCCAGAGCTCCCATGATCATGAAGTTGATAGAAACACTTCCAGAGAGGGCATCAAGAGCGTAATAGAAGCCGTAGTAAAGCAAACTTGTAACGAACCAGTGGAAGAAGAACTTGAGAGTGGTGATGAGGAAGGCTCGGTTCCTTATTATCATCATAACATCCCCACTCTCTCCACCTTCAGAAACCTTCTTTAACTGGAAGTGTTCCTCTCTCAGACCGTGGTCAGGTCCGAGATTGAACCTGGCCATTTTGAGGAGCACATCAGTGGTTTCCTGTGTAGTGGAGTTAGTGAGCAGCCAATGTGGGCTCTCTGGTACGAATATTGCAAGCAGTGGAACAGCAAGGAGAATGGCACTTGCCCCGTTTAGAGCTCTCCACGAAGTGAACATCTCGTACACCCCAGCCAGCAGCAAGAGACCAGCCGTTTTGAACAACAACTGAAATGGAGAAATAGATTTGTAATTACAAATACATCTTTTAAATGACAAAATTGTATTATTTCTATTTATTTAAAAAAATATATCTTATCATCGTCAACAGTTATAAACTTGAAAAATCGCAATTTCGATGTCTTCCTTGTAAGGTTTTGGGGTTTGGAACAAAGAATTAACAATAATTGAGCATACAAATTTGCATGTTTAAAATTAAATTATATCCCCATACCGCCATACGTTTGCACTTCCAAATGCGCTTAAATTGCACGTGCAAAATATTAGATAGCATTACTTACCCCGAGGAAATAGCAAACAGGTCGTTTTGTTGAAGGGAAGAACTCGTCTCTATATGTTATGTGAATAGACATGTAAGCAACGCTCGTCACGCCTGACATTTGAGTACAATCATAGATAACACAGTACACACTAATTTTCTAATTCAGTTTACGTAACAACAATTTAACATTTTACTAGGCTCAGTTATACGGTTATCCTGATGTTAAACTGTAAAGTGATATGTAATTTGAACATTTACCTGATAAGGTTCTCAAGGTTAGGAAGAGGGGGTAGGAGGATGAAAATGTCTGGCCGATAGCCAGAATCAGGGACAATATTATAGATGACAGGAGAGTCTTCTTCCTACCATATTTATCAGACAGGTACCTGTTCGAATAATACATATTATATACATTTCACGAATTATTTTAACACCAGGTATGTAATTAGTATGGATCAGTTGATGGAAATACAGTAATAAATAATTAGTAGTTGACCTGTTTCTGAGTGAAATAAAGAATACCCGCAGGTTTTGTGTAACTCCTACTCACCCACTGACAGCTAAACCTACAACAGTTCCAGGAACAAAGAAGAGCGAAGACGCCAGGATAGCGTAGCTGGAGTCACACTGCAGCTCGAAGTAGCTGACCATGGTCCGGTCAGACCGCACCCAGTCCCAGTTCTCTCGGGGCATCTTACACATATCCTCAACACACACTTTACCTGCTTTACACTCCCATTCCGGCACCACCAGCTGAACGGTTAACCTTTATTTTTGGGTGACTTTTGTTTTATTTTGACATTTCCATAATTAGTAATTACTGGTAATACATACCTACATAGTACATAGTAGGAGTAGGATATAATTATAAAATAGTAGGGATGGCCGGCAGTAATAATACGATCACTTTATCTGCGTACTAAAAAACTGTAGCAATCAAAGCACAAAGTTTTACTGTTTGCTGTCGTAACTAATTATTTAAACTATAACGATGAAATTATTACTCACTAAGAAGACGGCCATGAGGAAGTTGTACGCAGAGAGCAGGTTGAGAAGACTCAGAACAACTAGATAACATATCTGGGCTCGTCCTAAGGGTCCTATGTAGTTGTAACATTCCTCAATCTAATGTGGGGAGTAGTCAAATATTCACAAAGAATTGATAAAATAGTTACATTAGTTAACAAAGTTAAGATGAAAGCAAATATCTAGAGTATTACAAGAAATAATAACTTCCATCTTGGACAGTCTTAAAACTTTAAAATATTTGTACATTCGAACGCACAGTCTCACAAACAGTTGCGAACACAGCTACAGTGCCACAAAAATTACCTTAGTAAAAGACTTGATTCCGCGGTTGTCAAAGAACTCCTGGACTCCCTTGCATGGCTGATTTTCGGAATATTTACTTCTTACTACTTTTGTACCTTTCAAATCGTCCTCCATGGTTGACCCCGTAGAAAAATCACAGATCAAGAAACAAATTCAAAGAAGAATGAAGGGAACAGTATACTAATGGCGATCATGTTTCAAAACATGAATCTGATGGGATTTTATTGTAATACGGAGCTTATAAAGAAGACCGGTACAAAGAGATTACTCTGAAGCCGTACTCGTTAAATATGATGATTAAATTATAATTTGTTATGATTTGCACTTCAACAAAAAGGGATGTATTCTTCTTCTTCTTTTAAGCTCGCCGATTTCAGGCCTAAAATCAGGTTGTAAAATTGTAAAATGCATGTAAATATATGTATGTATATGCGTACAAAATGTATGTATCAGCTGTATCTGTTATAAATCGAACCTAAAGTGCGTATCAGGATCAGTTTCCTTACTCCTTTATAATTTCCAAACTGTTTGTTTCTCAGTGTTTATAATTATTTCACCAGCTCCAAGCACCCTTATTTTGGCCGTTCTTACTTCTTTCATCAGTCATCTCACTCTTTCATGTTACTTTCATTTCCCTCATTTATTACTTACTAATTCTACTCAGTTTCTACTCGTACTTCATTACTTATTATCGCATACTTAATATAATCAGAACGCTGTTTTAGAAAGTGCACTTCTTTAAAAAATGTCTCATCCTCTAAAAAACTCCCATTTGGAGATTTATTTCTTTACTCTACAATGTAGATTATTACTTTAATCTACAATGTAGATTATTTCTTTGCTCTACAGTGTAGATTATTTCTTTACTCTACAGTGTAGATTATTTTTTCGACATTATATTTTGACTTGGTAACTCTTACTCTTGATCTTAATCAAGATATTTTTCACATATAAACGTCATTGCGAATTGCCTTGCTTAACTCAAACTATACTACAAAACTCACACTTTACAGCTGTAACGAAGGAATCTGGAACATCTACAACCGAGGAATTGTTTCTTCCGCATATACAAAGTCGAATAATTTCCATAATTCTCCGAGATTTTGTGTGGTTGCCATCAAATAATTTATATATGCTGTTTACGTCCAGTCATCAGTTTATGTTTAATGTACATTAAAACAATCAAATTTCTGAATACAAATTTTATCATTTACAAATCTCAATAATAAATCATTAATTGTAATTAAAATTTATGCAAATTTCATTCTTGATTCTTCGCAACAATCATGTAACTCGTAATGGTACCTTTAAAATATAAAATTGATAGCTTTATAATAAACTATATATCCTCTAAATGAACAGTTGCCGATGTGAGAAAGGGAAAGTTTTGATCGTGTATCAGTGAATAGCCCAATAATTTGATCTCTTTCTCGTACAGCTTATAAACGCCTGTTTTCAGTGTTTCGGTCAGGTTGGAGAAGGCCAGGGCGGTCACTTCCTCCGAACTGTACTGATCCGCTGCTCTTTCAGTCCGGCTCGGGGGAAAGGGAATATCTTTTAAACTTGGCACCTGTAATAATTAGTATTTAGTAATTAGTAATTAGTGTAAACTTGGTTTAAAATATCAGTATTTCACCCTAGATCTAAACTTGTAGATTAACTTACCATCTCCTTCATCTCCTCTACGTGCTGATGTGCTGTTTCGAGCTGTGCGATAAGATCGTACTTTACTGTTGAGCCACATAACCCTATATAGTCTGCAAACGGGGCCCAGTGGTAATTCTCTCTAGCTGCCCAATAGTTTTAATTAATTTACATTATTTTCTCAAATACAAGGCTTACTGTTACAACTACTTAGCTTACAATCATAAACCGAATATTATCAACACATTGTAATTAACTGAACAAGTCAATTAGCTAAATAATTAATTAGTATGTTTAATTAATTACCATTTCCCGTGTAGATAAGGTACTCTACAAACTGTTCGAACGAGGGCCGGTACTGCCTCCTTGGCATCCAACTCAGTGCCGCATCCACTCCGTAGTTCTGAGCTATAATCTCCTGCCAGGTACATGTTTTTAATTCTTTTTTTTTCTAACCCAAAAACCTTAGCTCAAAACGTAGACAATTCTGCTATTTGAATCAAGGCCTTACCTCTTAAGGGGGCATACACCAAAACTTTCCAACCCAAATGACCTCATAGGAAGTTCAGTGACCATCTAGCGCACCCTTTCCATACCATACAATTTTTTGTGGAGGATTCCCATTTTTGTAATCGAGCATTTCCTGGTCAAAGTGCATTTTATAAAACGCAGCCTTTTCCGATACGATATCAAGATTTTACACACATCTTGAACAAGATATGAATAAACTTCGTGCAACATTTCAGCTCGATATCACAAGAAATGATTGACTTATAGCCTCTCAACAAAACAAATTGTGCTTTTCCGAAAGATGCACTTTAACCAGGAAATGCTCGATTACAAAAATGGGAATCCTCGAAAACAATTTTTGGTGTGGAAACGTTGCGCTAGATGGTTACTGAGCTTCCTATGAGGTCATTTGGGTTGGACAGTTTTGGTGTATACTGTATGCCCCCTAAAATGTATACTGCACAGTAAATCGGGTTTTGCTGTTTAGTGTTATATCATACTACTTTTATGAAGGAGTAAGTTGACAAAAGATGCGCATTCGTATATTCATTTATTGCATGTTTATTTGTTTTTTGTGTTTAATTTACGATTATTTGCATTTGAGATTCTGCGATTAAATTTATTTTGTTGATTGTAATGTTATGATATTGCATAATTTATTGTAAATGTAATATATGTTTCAGAAAATTATGTAATGTAACGTGATGGAGGTTCTTTAAGCGGGAAATTCCAGTCCAAACCCTGGAAACATGACATAAAGGATTTGTTTTACTTGTTGCATGAAAAGCACTAATACAGGGGGGGGGGGGCCGGGGGCTGTACCTGTATTTGGTCCACGTAATGCCCCTTAGGAATTCTTACTATCTTGTTCCTGTACCCGCTCACAAGACGAACTAAGGGGTTTCTGACGAATGTTACTTTGTAGTATGTTCTCAAAGCTTCCTTTTGCAACTCTAGAGGTGCTTCCCAGAGGCTCCTGAAGGACAGAGGGAGTGTAAACTGTGTATTATTCAAAAGAAGTGTGACTACCTTTATGCGAAGTGTGACTAACTTTGTGTGGAGTGTGACTAACTTTGTGTGAAATGTGACTAACTTTGTGTGAAGTGTGACTGATTTTGTGTGAAGTGGGACTAACTTTGTGTGAAGTGTGACTAACTTTGTGTGTAGTGTGACTAACTTTGTGTGAAGTGGGACTAACTTTGTGTGAAGTGTGACTAACTTTGTGTGTAGTGTGACTAACTTTGTGTGAAGTGTGACTAACTTTGTGTGAAGTGTGACTAACTTTGTGTGAAGTGTGACTAAATTTGTGCGAAGTGTGACTAACTTTGTGTGAAGTGTGACTAACTTTGTGTGAAGTGTGACTAACTTTGTGTGAAGTGTGACTAAATTTGTGCGAAGTGTGACTAACTTTGTGTGTAGTGTGACTAACTTTGTGTGAAGTGGGACTAACTTTGTGTGAAGTGGGACTAACTTTGTGTGAAGTCTGACTAACTTTGTGTGAAGTGTGACTAACTTTGTGTGAAGTGTGACTAAATTTGTGCGAAGTGTGACTAACTTTGTGTGAAGTGGGACTAACTTTGTGTGAAGTGGGACTAACTTTGTGTGAAGTGGGACTAACTTTGTGTGAAGTCTGACTAACTTTGTGTGAAGTATGACTAACTTTGTGTGTAGTGTGACTAACTTTGTGTGAAGTCTGACTAACTTTGTGTGAAGTGTGACTAACTTTGTGTGAAGTGTGACTAAATTTGTGCGAAGTGTGACTAACTTTGTGTGAAGTGGGACTAACTTTGTGTGAAGTGGGACTAACTTTGTGTGAAGTCTGACTAACTTTGTGTGAAGTATGACTAACTTTGTGTGTAGTGTGACTAACTTTGTGTGAAGTGTGACTAACTTTGTGTGAAGTGTGACTAACTTTGTGTGTAGTGTGACTAACTTTGTGTGAAGTGTGACTAACTTTGTGTGAAGTGTGACTAACTTTGTGTGAAGTGTGACTAACTTTGTGTGAAATCTGACTAACTTTGTGTGAAGTGGGACTAACTTTAAAAGTGGATTCTTCTCCTCGTTGTGTACCTCCTCCATCTCGGAGTATTCTCTTTTATCTCCTCCTAGTTTCAACATGAACTTCTTAAAGGAGGTGCTACCTGTGAAATCATTTCCTTGTCACCTCGAGGACTTTTATTTAAAACTAGTGTTGGGGCAACACTTTCTTAGGCGATTTAGTAACAAGACAATACGTCAATTCTGCCTGCTGGTAATAATAAGCCTTCTCATAATTATAAGCTTATTTTTATTATATTAAACAATTAATTGGCCCACCAGTTTACATTAGAATCTAATCTTACCACTGCAATCTATCAAAGAAAATTAAAATTAGCTAGATAATGATAATGCTTCACATTAATTAATTAAAATTGCTTTTCTGACATCTAAACTCACCGCATTTAGGGTTAGCCACGTAGATGAGCTTGTGCTCAGTGTTATAGTAAACTAGTCTAGGTTTAATTTCTACCTCTCCGTTGTCAAGTCCTAATGTTTTACACTGTTGTGAGATGTGGTCTCGTAGGGTTGCCTGACTGGGCGCTACACCACTTCTCTGAGGAGTTACCATGGTAATTTTAGTTACGTATTATTACATTTGCCATGGTAACTTTAGTTACGTATCATTATGTATTTACCATGGTAACATTTCCCATGGTTACTATGTATTATCAATAGTAACTTACGTATTATTAAATTTACCATGGTAACTATAGTTACGTATAATCACAGTTACCATGGTAACAATAACTACCTGATCGATGGAAGATATCGTCCTCTTGAGTCTATCATCAAGCTGTACATGGTGACCTTTAGCGGACTCTATGATAACCTCCATTTCCAAAGAGAGCGAACCTTTATAACTCTGATTTCTTGCTTTAACTGCACTGTTCCAGGTACCGTTATCTGATATTATTGATATTGATTATAAGAACGAAAACCTGGGGTAAAACACCCGGAGCAGGACAGTCTGGGAGTGGGGGAGGGCATCTGGTTTAAATCTGGTATACATCTGGTATACATCTGGTATACATCTGGTATACATATGGTATACATATGGTATACATCTGGTATACATCTGGTATACATATGGTATACATCTGGTATACATCTGGTATAAATCTGGTATACATCTGGTATACATCTGGTATAATTTCCTACCTGTTTCAATCTCCTCCTCTTTATCAGAAGAGTCGTCATTATTCTGTGTTGAATTAGGAGTAGTAGAAGTTACTGTTGTGGTGGGGGTCGAATCGGGGAGTAACTCTGAATATGTGTGAGACTCCTCTTTCTGTACTTTCTCAACTTGTACTTGTTCGTTGTGTATGTTAATGTTGAGGAACTCTTGTGACTGTTTCCACCCCGCCAGATCAGCTTCTGAAAACGTATCTGGTTGGCTAACAGTTCAACTAATTCAACTTATACTACGATAAGATATAAAAAGATGTGCGGAAAATCAAATATAGTTATGATAACATGGCGGCTGGCGGGCAGCCATATTATATTAACTATATTTGATTTTCAAAGATTTGGACATCCTTATTAATATTAAACATCAAAATATATACGAATAAATTGCGAATGTTTTTAAAACGTTTAACTGACTGATCCTTTAACTTTCTTTCTTCTCAGAACTATTTTTGCGCTGTTCTGTTTCACTTAATTCTTTAATTGTTTTACATTAAACCAGGACATGTTTTTAATTTGATCTTGCAGCCTCATTATAGGCATAATGCTTCGTCACGTGGCAGCGGCTTATTCCGGGAAAATGCGTCTTAACCCCCTTTAATCGGACAAGTAGCTTAATGCGAATTGGCCTAGACCGACATTAAATCAACTCTATGCAGGAATAAAGGCTATAATTTGAATTACGCTGGTATAAAGCCGACACAAACGCTATATTTAAATTTAAAATATGAAAGTTTAACAAAACAACAACAATCATTCTCACCTATACTATCTCTGAAATAAAGGAGTAACAAGGACAACGAACCAAGAACTGCAACACATCTGAGGGTATTCTTCTCCACGAACATGCTGGCAGGAACGTAGCCGAGTAGAAACAATGTTTAACAGTCAAGTGAATAGAGAGGTCCCAACTCCCTCACTATCCCTGCCTCTCAGATCCTTGCTTGCCAAATGCCAGTTTCTCTATGCTCGCTAACTAAATGTGTAAGAATATATTATTTATTATCACTCTGCCCCCACTACTATACACGTATGCGCATTGTAAAAACTTTAAACATAACATAACTGAACTAGCTTCAGTCCATTTTGGTACACATTTTTACGCAAGAAAGAAGAGCTCAGGATGATGTGATCTGACTGCTTACACAATACGAATACAGACACAGTAACTTGATTGGCCTATGAGTTCTAGGATGTCAAAGTTTAAAACACACATTTGTGGTGCGCGTGACTGATTAGGCCTCATTTGTATTTCTAACCAGATTCTTGATCTTTAAATATTACATATTTGTGTCCGATGATTTGTTATTTGGATTTTTAAAAGATCACAAAGGCTTGTTGCAGAAAAGTGGCATTTTTCCCCGTAACAACATCTAGTTCTACTAATACTAGGGCCAAAAATCGCTAATAATACAAAAGCGAATTCGATCAATTCGTAATTTCTTTTCCATTTTTTCATATATTATATTGTCATAAAATAAAAACAAACGGATTAACGAGGCAAACTGCGAATCGGCCTATTGACTTTAAATCAACTATTAATGCAGAAATAAATCAACTCTTTGCAGAAATAAATCAACTCTATGAAGAAATAAATCAACTCTTTGCAGAAATAAATCAACTCTATGCAGAAATAAATCAACTCTTTGCAGAAATAAATCAACTCTATGCAGAAATAAATCAACTCTTTGCAGAAATAAATCAACTCTTTGCAGAAATAAATCAACTCTATGCAGAAATAAATCAACTCTTTGCAGAAATAAATCAACTCTTTGCAGAAATAAATCAACTCTTTGCAGAAATAAAGTAAAGACTGTAATTCAAATTATGTTGGTACAATGCAGACGTTATATAAATATTTCAACTATAAGCGTAGCCGAGTAGAAACAATGTCTAACAGTGAAGTGAAAAGAGAGGTCCCAACTCCCTCACTATCCCTGCCTCTCAGATCCTTGCTTGCCAAATGCCAGGTTCTCAAACTAAATGTGTAAAAATATGTTGCAGGAAAAGAAACACACGAGTTTGAGGCTACACTAAAGCTGATTTAACACACGACCACACACGAGTTTAGCAACTTGTGTGTGGTCCAACTTATGTAAGAGGGGGAAAATAGGCTAATCCCGCTGCCTCAGCTGATTTAACACACGACCACACACGAGTTTAGCAACTTGTGTGTGGTCCAACTTATGTAAGAGGGGGAAAATAGGCTAATCCCGCTGCCTCAATCTATACTAATAATCCCAATAAATGTATGTGTGTATGTGTATAATTTCCGAACGGATTAATCGAGAAAACGGTAAGAGTTATGGGACTGGTTTTTTCGGTATAGTTTAGACAAAATTCTGACGAAGCCAATAAGCAAAGTTTTTCTAAATCGGCTGGTGGTAAGTGGTTTAATTGATGGTTTTGTATAGCTGCAAGATTGCCTATTAAGTATTACTATAGTACTATTGGATATGTGTTGGAAGCTCAGAATTAAATTTACTCTAATGCGGCCGGTTTCGACTGAGCGATCAGTTCGACTGCGACAGTCATGAAGTCCCGGCCGTAGGCACGGGTTACACTAGTAACTCAATAAGGGGAGTACAAAGTTTTAACAGAGTCAAATATCACACAATATCACACAACAGGAGTTTGCCACCAACTTATATATTTATATACGAGGGAGTGTGTGGACCAGCTTATATATTTATATACGAGGGGCGGGGGCTGGTTATTGTACTATAATTGTCTCCTTAACCAGGTAAAAACCTTTGTGTTCCCACTTATTGTGTGTACTGTTGTGTGCACCAGGTTTGTGAAGCTTGATGTAAAGGTGACAGGATAGTGTGTAGCTTTATTGTAGTGTAGTCAATTGCGCACCCGACTAAAGGTTTGAGATAGAAACCTAGACTGCAGATGATGTATATCTGATTATCTGTAGTCTGTAGTTTATCTGTACAACTTTATAAAGTTGTGGAGAAGGGGAGTAAAATTAAGCTAAAGATTTTTTAAAACATTCAACTCAAATGAACCCGGTTTTGATTAGTTTATTGGAAGTTGGAAAAACAAACTCATTATGTTTTTAAAAATACCCAAATGTTCAGGTAAGAAATTTATAAAGTTACTAAAAATCCTGAACCGGCAAATTAATGCCAACGTGTTGCACAACGTTTGATAAAAGCTTTATCAACCAATGTCTATGGAAGCGCATGTGTGTCAAAAAATATATAAATATAGGCATAGCCTGTGCAGCAACACGCGTTTTCACCTAACCGACCATGTGCTTTCGCGCCAGTGCAGCATGCAGGCGCGCTCGTTTCACACGGGAGGCGAGCGGAGAGGAGTTTAAAGATAAAGTAGATAAGGATAAAATACATAGATAAATAGATAAAGATAGCGATTAGAATATTATATAGAGATTTTACAGCAATTTTACAAAAATGACACACATGGGCCACCTATTGATTTACATAGTAAACCTGCTAGCGCATGTGTATCATTATTTTTTTTGACACACATGCGCTTCCATACAATGTCAAACATTATGTAGCTAGCAACAGTGTCACATAAGGTACACAAAGTGACAAAACGCGCCATCATAAATTGTCAGGCAGAATAATTTCAATTGATGAAATAATAATATAAGAGGGATCAGGGTTTGAATAAATTAGATATTTTGGATGGCAAAAGAGATAGGTATTAACAAATTTTAAGAAAAAGGAAGAACAGGCTTTCTTCTACTAATTAGTTTCAATAATAATGACCTGAAACCTATAACCAGTTGATGATTAGATGAGATCCGATGTCATATAGTAACCCAATTCCTAACCCTACGAGACCAACTTCACTATAATGTGGTCATGTCACGTGATCGAAACGACGAAACAGCTTTTTCGTCGGGGAACATTCTAACCCTATCTCATGTGGGGTGATTTGGAATCATTGTTCACAAATACATCTATTCAAGTTGCAGATCCAAGGGCCCTTTTAGGAACATCCAAAAGTTCAAGTTCAGAGTGATTGCTCGCTCGAGAGATTCTACCAATCATGAATTTGAAACCTAATCACCGGAATCATATGGAAGAATCGTCAAATTGCTACATATTACAATGAAACTTAATAACTAAACATTAAAACTAAATCTAATGGCTATTATACATGGGAACCAGTCACGAGGGTGGAAGACACGAGGGCGAAGACACAAGGGCGGAAGTCGATCACATGACACAAGGGCGGAAGTTCCCTAAAACGATCATATGATCCCTAAAAACTAATGAACCAACTTATCAGTCACTTACTATGGGCAGATGATCTGATACTCTTGGCACTGGACCCCAAAACCCTCCAAAAGCAACTCGATGCTTTGAACAATTTCTGCTTGGAATGGGGCGTCGAAATTAATGCAGATAAAACTAAACTCATGAAATTTAATTCCCGCTTCGATAATTATCAGCCGGTTCCCCTCAAAATTGGTAATCACTTGTTAGAAGAAGTCGAGTCATACTGTTATCTAGGAATCGAAATACACAAATCCGGCACATTCACAAATGCCCGAACTGAGCTCAAAAAGAAAGCCATGCGTGCACTTTATGGCATGAAAAGCTCAGTAAACAAATCCAAATTATCATTCCGTTCTCTAACAACACTCTTTGACGCTCTTATTAAACCTATCGTTCTTTACGAAGCGCCTATTTACACACCTAATATGGCTATCATAAAACACATAACAAAACAAGTCGATCTCAATATGGATCCCGACACAAAAACAAAATTTCAAACTAGTATCCTCAAGAAAATAAGTCTTCTGAACAGCGAAAAAGTTCACCTTCACTTTCTTAAATGGTCACTGGGTGTAAATCGTAAAACCAGCAACGCAGGCGTCTGGGGTGAGTCAGGCCGCTACCCATTAATCTATGAATGTATTAACCTCACTCTCAAATATAGCCAACGCTTGAAAAATCTCAAAGATAACTCCCTTGTATCCTTAGCTTTCAAAGAACAGATGAACATGAAATTGGACTGGTACAGGGGTTTGGAGCCTGTCCTCGCGCTAGACCCATGTTTCTCTACCGATCATGTCACAGCCTACCGCACACTCAAAAACAATCACTCCAAGTCAATTTTCGAAAGAAACCCGAGTATCGCAAAACCACCAAAAGAGGACTTTCTTATTCACAACGGTTTCAAGAAACGAATTCCTCCGCAATCAACACGACCCATCGGGAGTAAAATATTCACACCACACGTCATTACTAAAACTTTGAAAAGTAGCTTTAGAGAATATTGGGGATCCTGTATCAGTGTATCAACACTTCTCGGAAATTAGAATTCTATCGTGACCTAAAATCCAAATTTAACAAAGAGTATTACCTAGACAGTGTCATCAAATATGCAGACCGTGCTAATATCATTATCACAAGACTGCGGATCAGTGCACATCGACTCGAAATTGAACTTGGCCGATATAATCAAACTCCTCGCGATGAGCGAATATGCTCCTGGTGCAATATAGTCTTAGGTTCTGGTATCATTGAGAATGAAGATCACTTCCTTAACCATTGTGATCTTAACGCTGCATCGAGGCGAAAAGTCCTAGACAAGATCCAATCAATCATATCAAATTTAATCAAACCATCTGCGACATCTTGTTATGTTTACACTGTCATCCCTGGAGCAAACGTCCTCAAATTCATCAGCAACAATAGTGAAATCATTGAATTAATCACGAATGAAAGTCAAGTCCACCTCACGAGAGTCGTTGCTAGATTTGCCACTACGTGTTTTAACAACCGCAAGAAATTCGTCGACTCTCTGGCCAGTACATGAACACTGAAAATCACTGTACCAGCGCTTTTGTTTCTTTTCGCGTAACAACGAGTGCAAAGTGGCCTGGCTCAAGCATTACTTACAGCATTATAACCAAGGCGACTGTAAACAAAATATTTTTTGTCATAATCTTTATTTTTCACTTTAGTTTAAGTTATATTAATATAATAAATTCAAATCTTATGATATTGTTATTATCTTAACAGTTACTATTGTAGCTTAAGATTTTAAATTTGTATTCCTTGTATTCCTTGTATTCCTTGTATGACTCACTTTATCATGGAGCCATACACCGTCCTGTCTCCTGAATTTCATGGCCTACAACCTACAACAATTGCATTCTTACCATTATCTCATCTTATTACACTTCCCACACTAATCTAATCTAAATAACACTTCCCACACTAGCCCACCTGCACTTTCATTAATCATCATATCATCAATCATACCTGTATCTAATGCATCCAAATATGACTTATTTTAAAACTAATTTTATCTGAAGATCCACAGTTCTTTGCCATTGATTTGTGTGTTCTCGTCATTTAATTTAACCGCTCCCACTAAATCGCAAATTTTAGGAAAATTCTTGTGAAAAGGCCCTGATTAACGGGTGATACTCGTATAATATCTGTTTGTCGACGAGTCCAACTCGGCGCGCGTCCTGGTATAAGGTTGTAAACCTACAAGGCCCTGAGGGTATGAAAGTTATCTAATTCGGTGTATTTTTGGACGCTGATCCCGAATTCAGAATTGTAGGTTTACAACCTACCAGGACACGCGCCGAGTTGGACTGGAACAGATATTTTACGAGTATCACCCGTTAAATTCCGAATCACTTTCATGACGTATAGCCATAGGGTAAAAATGCTTCCCTGGAAAGTCATAGACAAAAACTTTTTTGGTCACGTGACAAGCTAGTTAAAAAGGAATTCGATTGTTTAGGGCTCGCATTTCAAGTGTTTCCCTAGTTAAAGCATAATTTATCAATATTATTATTATGAAGTGAGCTGATTAGAGCTTATACATTATACATTATACTTATACTTAAAGTTATAGTGAATGGAAATCTAGCGTCCACGACGTGACGTCAAACGTTGTATTTACGTTTCAATATTATATAAGCTTTTGACTATGAACCTATTTTACTTACTTCTTTGATTTTACGAACTCAAATTCGATGGCCAAATTATCGACCGATAAACGGTATTATTTCGATAATTACTAAAATGTAAAAATTTATCGATTTTCTCGATAAAATATTTTGGACAGAAAATGCAAACCCTAGTGACCGAGTTTATGTAACTTAGCTTAGCTTGTTCCATTCCATGGGCAAGACGCCTATAAGTTCAATTTCTTAAGTCAAACCAAATAAAACGGCGATTTATTTTAGATAAAAGATGAGAAAATTCTTTTATATAAATAATTTAAGTCCAAAATGGATTAAAAACAATTGAAATTTTACACATTCGACTTATAAAATATCTCCTTTAACAATGCGGAAAGTCTTAAGCAAATTTACTTTCACATTATTTTTGTTAATTGTAATCGTGAAAATTTTGAAAATATTGATTTTTAGTTATGATTAACTTCTAAACAATAACCTATAAATAAGATTTCAAATAGATAATAGAACATCAACCGGTTTTTAACAATTACTGATTATGGATTTCATCAATTCCATGCGTTTTCATATCTCTTTCTGGGATTTAAATGCATTAAAGCCAACTTTCGTACAAACTTGTTAAAAAGTACTTAACAGTCAACATTGAAACGGGGAAAAACAAAGATGACGTGAACATTATAACTTAGCGACTGGAATTAGTAAAATAAAGTTCCCAGTGCGGGATAAACATTTGTAAACCCCTAGAGTAAAGTTAGTAAACTTAAGAAGGTAACTAACCCCGCTATTGTTTTAAAGTATTTGAAGCAGATGAATAACAAACAATGCGTAAAACAGGAAATTTATCTGGTGTATTGTTTCGAAGGAGGTTTGGACATTGCAGCTAAACTGTTACCGGGTCACCTCGTCACGGAGACTAACTATTTGATATTCAACAATGTCCTGCAAATATCTGAACTTCCTCCGAGAAAAAAAGAGAAAGGGCTACGATCAGGCAGAGCAAAATATTCCACCATCGAATGCAAATTTATTATTATGAAAGGATTCAATTTTTTGGACATTTCAAAAATTGGATCGTAACTCATTCTGGTATATAAAACTTCGTCAAAATTATAGTATTTGTACAAATAATCTACAATAATATCAACAACGAGTGTGAGGCACAGCTTATATAAACGGATTATATCAGCAATTTATTCAATGTTTTCGCTTATAATCGTCGAATAATCGGCCAGCTGTCAGCATTTCCACATCACCAATAAAACAGTAAAAACATTGCTATCATAGCTCTACAAGTACAACAGCATCAATCATAACGAACCCTAACCACTCAAAAACAGTTGCACAGTTCACTCAACCTGTAACATCGGCTCGACCGTAAAAAACATGTACCTAGCAATCGACTTATCAATTCACCAATTAACGAATTATCTAAATAATCAACTAATAAACCGTGAAAACACTACACTAAATTGGGAGCTGTCATTAAGCTAGCGTCAATGATGGATGTGAATTTTAGGTTAAGAGAGGGTGAGTCGGGTCCAAAAGAAGTTTGTAACTGTTTGGAGTACTTGCTGGCGATTTGTAGGAGCTCTGAGACGGCCACGGTGGAGTTGAGGCCAGTAGGAGGGAGACCTGTTAGGAAGTCTAATGGTGCTGGAGGGAGGGACGACACCTGAGGGAGGGAGAGTTTTAGTTCATGAAAAAACTTTATCTTAATCATTTTGAGGGGAGATTGAGTGTTTTTAAAACAGCAATACTAGCCGACTACCGGCTAAACCTTAATCTCTGTTCAGCCTACCTGTTCGTAGTGTTTCTGGACTTGTTTCCTGTATCTTGGAATATCTTTAGCGTACAGGAGTTTGTTTATAGGAGAATCCTTTGTAAGCCCCTTATCTGAGGTCGAGCAGGAGTCCATAAACACGCCACACACGATATTCAGAGAAGAGTCGATAGTAGGGGTCTGGTCGATGTCAAATAGGAATTGAGGATTCTTTATCACGTTCATCCAGAACCGAAGTGACAAACTGTTGTTCTTCCACGTGTGAATACAAGCCTGGAAATAAGGGCCGTTAATTCGATATCCTGATATAGGAGAGGATGAAAGTGTAGAAAGACAAAAGTAGAACACTTAAAATCAGAATTCAGATTGAAAAGGCCGAGGATAATCACGTACCTGATTGTGAAGTAGGTTATGCCGCTGAGCCTGACGCTCCAGGAAGTCGAACAGGTACTTAACAGCCGGAGGGACTCTTTCACGTGACATGAAAACGTTACCCAGGAGGTCGTCTACGTAGGGTTGTAGGGTACCTTTAGTTGACAATAAACGGGTAAGGAACACCTGGGGAGAGGAGGGGTTAGAGGATATGTGGTAAAATATCAATATGGACAGAGAACAAATCAATCAACAAACAAACGCATCCCCTCTAAATTTTTTCAACTTAGTTATATTTGCAAACAATTCAAATATCTCAGAGTTGATAAAAAATGTTCTTACCTCGGACATCATCTTGGTGCTGAGGAGGGTGTCAGACTCGTTGATGTCGCAACCAGGTTTCACCAGGTGATAGACCTGGTGTCGCTCTTCCGACTTGTCAGTGTCACTCGTGTTCATTCCCGCTGTTATCAGGTTACCCTTACTCCTGTATCGCTTAGTAGTCAGGAAGCTAGCTTTCCTCCTGTCAGTAGTAGGACTGAGAGAGCTGTGTTCGGAGTCTGTGCTGAGTGGTATCATCGCGAGAACTGGAGTAGGATCTTCTATCTTGTAGTCCGCTAGAGTACACAGCTTTCTCCATCCCTCCACGATTGGGGCCTGATTCTCACGGAGGATCATTGGGGTGTTCCCTGTTCTGATGTACATGAGATCGAAGGATTCAATCGAGGGGATTTGAGAGGCGGGTTTACCTCGGTGTACTGATTCGATAACCTGAAAAGTGGCGAATTAAGCTTTCATTCGATTAACTTATTTGAAAGTTATACCAAATACATGTTGAAAAGAGATACAATTTAAATGTTGTTCTCTACTTTCTCAGAAACTGAACAGGTCAAAAAAATCAAGAGGTCTTCTTATTAAACTGTACCTTTCGTTTTGCTTGTCTGATACTGTCACAAGTCAGTAAGGTGACGGAATGTTCCTTCTTGTTAAGATCCCGGACAGTCCCTACAATAGGTTTAAACTCGATTGTCTCTCTTAACATCTTCTCGTTGTTCAGACTCAGTTTAGCCTCGTACGTTATCTCGTCTTGAGGTCCCAGGTCCAGCTGTTGTTTGATGGCAGAGAAAAGGGTGAAGATGGCATTTCCTGCGTTTTGTCGGAGATACTGGTAACAACAGTAGTTGAGCCAGTGAGTGAGGAGTTTATCAGCTACACTCTCCGTTCTCCGGAGCAGCAGTTGAGGGTGGTTCTTCTTTGCCAGGAACTTGTCTATCAACTTCTCCATCAATGAGAAGAGAACCTCAGTGAGGTAGCCCATGTCGTTGCCGATGACGATGACCAACAAACTGGCCATCTTACACTTGGCTGCCACATCAAAGTGTGGATCAGCCTCCACAACCTCGACGAACTTATGCAAGAAGGCCCTATCTCTTAACAGTCGTCTGAACTGAGCTAACCGTGCTGTCTCCACCACCTTAGAGCTGGGAGCACTCAGTCTGGCGAGAAGATCTTAGTTTCAGCTTCTGTGCCGGGAAACAAAACACTCGACATGAAGTCCGAGAAAGGTCGGAAAGGAATTTCGGCAATGTTTCCGTTTACGTCCGTCAGCTGCATTTGGAGTGCAGTGAACGCATCTTTGCATTCGTTTGCCACTCGCATCTCCAGTTTCTCCATGTGCATGCGGACCGTTTTGAGAGTTCGACGATGAGACCGCTGGCTTCTGTGATATCTAGAAAAATTTGTTTGGTTAGAAATAATTCAGAATTTTACAAAAACATGTCAAAAATGTTGTCTGAATATTTAAATAGCAATGTAAGATATAATAATATCAGAGGTTTATGTGAACTTACTTGAGTCCCACATATGACAGGAGGACGACTAGAACAATAAAACCAGCAATAGGGATGATGATAGCCACATAAGGAATACCACCCGAAGGGCTCTTGGTGTAGTAAAGCTTTCCTGCTGTGTGCTTCCAGTTTCCAAGTTTCACTGTCACGATCGCCATGTACTCCGACGAATACTTCTTGTCGTGAGAACGCTTGTCAGGTGCATCTGTGACGTCATCATCAGCCTCACGCAACTTGCGTGACCCCTCACGCTTAGGGCGGGAGAGTGCCTTCATCTGGGCTTTGTGTTCCTTGTAGGTATTGTAGTTGGGTGGTGTGATGATAATGAGGTTCTCGGTTATGTCGTTTATAGTTACAGCAAGACCTCCGACAAAAACCTCTAGACCGGAAACTTTGTTCAGACCTTGTCCGTTAATGACAAACTGCTGTCCACCAGAGAGAGGCCACTCAATAAAACCATCTGAAAAGAATGAACGTTTTAAAACTTAATCTATTATGGTCGTATGGTAACTTGATTTTCAACAAGCACTCCTTGTGAGGCAGAATAAAACTAAAAACGATTACATTTATAGGGTTTGTCATACAAATAAGTTAAATAAAAACCTTCATTAGTATTATTAACAGGATCAAGTATAGGATCAGCGTGGACAGGGAAAGGATTCAGTGCTATCAGATGGTTGTCAGCCTTCAGATGGGCAGTCACATAAGATACAGGAAGGTCCGAGAGCCCTGCCATGTCCATGTCCAATGTGGGAGTTTTACACAAGAATTTGGAACCTGATTTCTCACATTTATTTTCACCGTTGACTCTGTTGACAGTCTCGAATATAAGCGACAGTTTCTGAACGCACTCAAGCCTGTACCCTTCTTTAAAGCCAATCTCTATTGGGATCCCTCCTGAGCTTATGGAACTGTTAATGCTCAGAGACTGAGGTATCGGGTTTTCCACCACTTGGAACAGGAAGGGGCTGTTAACCATTCCACCGTCAATGTTAACCTGAAGGTTGGACTCTCCGATCACTCCTGCTCTGGTGGTACAGGACACTTGTTTCTGGGTAGCCTTGTCGATGACGTCACACATGGTACCAGCAACAATAACAGACATGGAAACCCCGATATTAAGCTCGTCTCCAGAGATGGTGAGATCAGTTCCACCAGCAGCGATACCACAACGAGGTGACACGTCGTTAACCTTGTGTTTCTGTGGGATAGACGGTGTTAGAGGTGAGGCTTGTTGTAGCTAAGTGAGAACATTTAATAACAAATAATCAGAAAACGTACAATATACAGTACTTATAATAAATAAACAGCTGAATCTAGGTTGCCCTTACCTTGTAATAGTACATGAAGTTAGGGTAAATGTACTGGTCCCCACTAGTAGTGACCTCCACTAAGCCGTGTTTAGGCACTCCACTAGGGGATGTCTGGCAGACTACTGCTCGGGACACTTCAAACCCTTCTGTCTGTACCTCGCAGGGTAATCCTGAGGGAATGAGTAAGTTAAAGTTTCATTGATTTCTGTTTTTAAGTTTTAAGGGATGAGCAGTTTTTTGATAAACATAGTTCTCCGAAAACAGTGCAGACTAAAGAGATTAAATCTATAACTTTACTGACCTGCTATCTTGATAGAAGTGATGTCTGTAGGTCTACTTCCCAAGTTAGTACCCCTGATAGTCACCAGAGTTCCACCCTCCACCGGACCATGTTTAGGTTCAAATGACTCGACAGTGAGACCGACACAGACTGAACTGTACGCTCCCGGACATATGTTGGACCCTCCAGTCTGGAGGAGACATTGGGAGAGTTCATCGCACCACCCACACCTTCTCAGCATGGAGTTAGCACGACAGGAACTGCAGTCCTTACCAAGGACCCCACAACGGTAGATGTCTATTTCGGGTTGTCGTTCTGATTCAATTTCTTTGGTATTCCAGAGCACCTGGAAAGGAAAATATCTAGTTATAGAATGTTGATGCTGTGATCATCAAGTACATATTATGTCAAGTGTCAACTATGAACTCTCCCCTGCTGATATTGTAAGGATATTATCAAGAGATAAGACAATCTTTAGATCTAACGAACCTTGACGGGGGAGATGACTTCACCAGCGGTAGCAGGACTGTTAAACGTGTGGTTTGTAGCACAGATAACTTTAGTGTCGTTAACGTAGGTACCCGGGAGTCTGGTCTCCTCACCGTGTATGTTGACTACACATGTGTAACTGTCTTGGTCCTGCTATGACGGAGTGTGACGTTAAAAATGGTGACATTGTGACGTCATCGGTTAATGACGTAATTGACTTTTTGCAACGATATCTTTTGTGTTATGTTGTGTATTTTGAAATCACGTCCATTTGTGATGCAGCGTGCTTGCCATTTAAGTGTATCATCATAAAGCAACCGCATTTCTTAATTTGAACAAATCTATTAAAATTCGTTTAACCGTCGCTCAACTTTGCAAGCACATTAAACACTTATTTTAAATCGAAGCTTGCCATTTCATCCACTATTTATGGCAAGAGACATCTCAAACAGTTACGCTACGAAATTATAACAATCATGTTATGCGAAGCTTTTAAATTTGGGACATCCTCTTCCACTGCTGATTATGGCAGACAAGAACATGGAAACTTGTTGCTAAATGAACAAGGCGGAAGTTCTTAATTCTCAAACTAACTCCAAATTATCTTGTATCTACTTAGGGTACTTACCCCAAAAGGTTGCGGCAGATTACGGCCGGATATTTCAAGTCGATGGGAGTAGTCAGCAGGAATGTATGAGATCCCGTAGTTCAGGGCTGGGCACTGATGTGGTTCTGAGATCTGTTCACAGACCTGGTCACAACGGTTTGCGTACGTGCACCACCCGCAACCCACTGCTGCACTGGTGCAGGATGTACATCTGAGGAAGAGGGGAATTTAGTAAAGATAAAGGATAGATTTAGAAATTACTCTTCACTTACAAGGCTTAATTCAAACAGATGTGTGTTGGTATTCGTGGTAGTTTTTCTCAATTTCCGATATTACGCAATATCCTGGGTCTTATCAGATATACCGTCACCGAAATTGAATTATTGCTCTTATCACTTATCGTATCTGCAAACTTTCCCAGCAGATTAACTCAGCACTTCAAAGAGAGGAATTTAATGTTTTACCCAACTCCTTAGTCCCCAACAAACGGTAAACTCCCCTCCGACTTTGGAGTTGTTAGCAGAAAACACCCCCTACAAATGAAGGTCACAGGTAAAAGTAAAGCTGGCATGGCGCACTCACGTGGTGTAAGATTCACAGTTGAAGAAGGTGAACGCCTGCTCGGATGATGCAAGGACTATGTCTCCACTAATGAGGGAGAAATCCACCATGTGCTGGCCGTCTATCGGCGGGTTAAGGAAAGGAATCTGAAATAAATAAAAGGTCAGAAAACAAGGAACTTGGAATGAACACGCGATAATTATTTTCTGTCAAGTCGGTATCCCAAGTCAACACAGTCAGCCGGCAGCCAGAGAGATGTGATAGTTTTGTAAAAGCGCTAATCTTTTAACTTACCAAACAAGTGATTTCACCATCTTCCCCAACAGCAGCTTCCTTCAGTCCGTACCTCCCAAAATCACAACTAACAGGAGTCCCCTCAGGGTAGTGATTGTTGGTGGTTACAGCGACCATGTTTCCCACTCTCTGAGTACCCATGCTCATCATGTTGGGTTTCAGGGCGGTGATGCTGGTACACTCGCCCCCTGCACGCCACACATCACTCGTACACTCGTGTTCAGGAGTACACCTCCCTGCCATCTCACACCACCCACAGTGTGGGTCTCGCACTGCAATACACTTCTCACAGTCTGCGTCAATGTAGCTGGAGCAAACGGAGATGGGACGGGTGAACACCTGGAAGTGGTGGTGTTTGTTAGCGGAGAAGGATTGTTAGTTCATAATTGGAGTTTTTAGGCACGCCCTGAGTCTGACGTGCCAATCTTTTGGTCGGTGATAAACAAGTTAAAGGTTTCTTTGAAGAGCGGATATCGCCTGTAGATAATTGGTACTTACGGAGTTTTCAGTCAAGATCAACACTTCGGCTTTCTCGGATAACACCTTTATCTGTAGCACTTTGCTGGAGAGCGTTTCTGTGCTGTAATCGTCTATGTGATGAACTCTATCCACCGATTCGATGACATACTGAAATAACAGGTGGTCAAACACGTGGTTTATTTTGACGCGCGCAGCAGTAATCGGCTACAATAAGCTATCTTTTCGCCTTAGCGCGTTACGTTAAATTTCTATCAGATCGGGTAATGATGTTACTTGTCAAAGTATACAATTCTGATACTTATGTTTGGCCTTTACAATGGTTGCTGGTGAAAATCAAACTATTTGATTGAATGATCAACATGCAGGTTCTAGCCTACATTCCAACATCACCATGATAGAAGACCCACTCTCAAGAATTCACGCACCGAATCTACCAGCACGTTTCTTTAACAATTCGCCTCTAAAAATAACACCATCCAAAACAAATGTATGCAGATAATTTCTCAATTATCAATAACGGTTTAAAAGGCTCGGATCATAGATCATTAAACAGAATCCACGTGAACAGCTGAAAGGGTATCGTGAAATCACTCGGGAAAACATCACTACAGTGGATCCTTTTGAGCATGCTCGATCACATGGGATTTTAGAGCTCATAAAATATTTAATATGCATTGTTCACGAATAAATTCCATTATGTTGACAAGAATCCATCCCGCGTCAGTTTATAAAGTTAGAGGCCTGAATTCTATTCGCTGTACATCCAAATTTAGAAGCATTTAACATAAGTCATTTTCACTAAAAATAGGCACTTTACGTTTAACAGAGTCACAGGTAGTTAACCTGCACTTATTTAAAACGTATTGTAAACTCAACGTGCTTCGCCGCTATACGGTGTTCTGTTATTTTATTTTAAACTGTCTCTTGTCAACTTTCTCACTCTACCTTGTCAACGTATTATCGATCATTTAAGCTTAATAAGCCAATAACATCACAAGTTTCAAACGACATGAAGTCAGCCACACTACTAGTATTTGACAATGTGCTTTCCTACGTTAATGCGAATTCATCCGAAATTCTGTCGGCACCTCACAAGAAAACCGCCCAAGATTCGGAATTACAGTACTGCACATAATATGCTTCTAAAAATTCAGCGGTAATGACAGGGGTATTTTTGTGCCGAGTTTAACAGGTTTAACTAAAGTGCCAGGCTCGGTGAAGAATAACAGGGGAGGTATCTGTGATTGAGCGCCTCCTGAAACCAATATGCGCATAGACCGGTGGTTAGCGAGCAGAGGCTGAAAAGTCGGTGAGTTCTCCAAGAAAGTTCAGGACAGATCAAGAGAGATGCGCGGCGGGAGATCAAAACAGACGAAAGTTCAACACCTAGACGCAACCAACACGACAGCTTGACCAATTTGACACAAGATTTTAGAGCATATGCTTGGTTTCGGAATTTATGATAAGGGAGGATAAATGTTCTATCACGGTATGACAGGAAACAGGTTTCAGTTGAATATCATGGTATTCATAACTTAATAAGTAATTTCAAAATTAAACACACAATATTTAACCTTAACCAGAACTTCTCTTACCTTTTGAAGAGTGTGTATATTCTGATGCTCCACTCCTAAGAACACCTCTACATCAGTCTTCACCACGTTTGTAGAGATTGCCAACACATCTCCCTCAATCAGTTTCACACTGCTCGACCTCAACTTCTCACCCACTTCCAGTGGATAGTTGTCATTCTTTATATTGCACGTGCAAACGTCTGTACAGGTCGTCTGAAGGGGAGAGGGTTAGATTCCAGTCTGGATTTCGGCAATGATTAACAAAATATTATATAATTCGGGTTAACTCGTTTATATTGGAGAGTTGGGACAGTGATTTAACGGTGTTAACTAACAAAATACCGTAACGGAGTATGTATAACGGAGTAATATCCCGTTTAACGATTTTTATCAGACAAAAATCACCCGTTTAACTTTATATATTTATTTACAATCTAAGTAGACGTCCCAAAAGTCTGATAAAAAGATTTACAGTATTAATCACAGACCTGAATTCAATATCTCCTTAAATTACAATTTGCAGTTACAAAAGGATAAGGGGGAAGGAGGAATTTGTGTTGGCTAAACTATGTATTCATGGCATTGTGGTATCCTTGATAATTGTGATAGTAATCTGTGTACAAGGCATTCAGGATAATACTCATACTAGTAAATAATGTCCAATTTACCTATTTATTCTAGTTACTGTGATAATTATGAGTTATTCTTCTAATAGTAATACGATAATTTTAAATGAAAGGTCATCATAGTATAGCATCATTATGATAATCATATACTAATTATGATACCATCCGGAAATCATTAAGTACCAACAATTATGTTACGCAATTATGTAAAATTACAACCATGAATGGTAAATTTACAGAGAATATTCACTGACTACGCTGTAGTTACCCCTGTTCACGATCGTCTAGGCTCCAGAAAAGTTCTATGATATTCTACTAGAAGCACAATTTACCCTATAATTATACTGTATTTGGGGCTAATATCTAACCAACAGTTTACCCTTTTAACTCAGCTGGCTAGTACTGAGATGGGGTGAATCTCCAACTGAGAAGCGATGGGATGCACCACTTTTAACCGTCAATATTTCATATCATGATTCATGACGTTCGACAACTCAATATAATAACCCTTCGCCTTATATTAACCTGTCACAGAGACATAACCCTAGAATTTTCCCTAACGCTAACCCTCGACCTTAAATTTCGAGTAATCTTGGTGGTATTTGACAAGAAGATGAGAGAGAGGTGTTTGAACCCGATTAATAAGTTAATAGTGCAAGAGAATGTGAAGGATTTGCGGAGGTAGCAGGTGTTTAACAGGGTAATCGTTTTCTGTAGATTTAATTAACTGACATGTGCTCAACTGACACATGACAAACCTAAAGCAATTTCATTGGTTGAGAATGCTGAGTGGAGATTGTTATTGGTCAATGAGTGTTTGATCTCATTCTTTTGACTCGGGAATGCGAGTGCAAAGCTTCATTAGTTTTAGTAAAGATTTGATATAGAATTCGACTGAAGTTCACAAAGACTTTGATTTGTTGAGTGAATGATGATCATGAGAAAGTGATCACACTCCACACTCAACAGCTTATTTTCATTAAAATCTTATGTACGTAGATCACAACGAAACTTAATGTATGCTTTAGGAATCTTACAGCGCTAAGATCTGGTAGCTGTTATATTTAAAGTTATTTCATGAGGTGAATAGTTAAAATAAATGTACATTTCCAGTTTTAGATTTACATGGAGCAACTATTGAAAATTGATAGTGCCGTTATTAAACGGTTCAAGCAGCTTTGATTTATCAAAATTTAAAGATACAATTTGTCATTAAAGGCGGGCACCTGTAAGTGACACATTTTAACTAAAATGCGTTGGTAAAGTAGTTCCAGTAATTTAAACTTTTATGATTATGGTCAGAGGAAGGTTTTCAGAGGCCTGCATTTAGTTTCATCATCCAATATCATACCACAAAACCTGGTCCAGGTTCAGCTGGATAATAAGATAATATATAACGGTTATATCTGGTTCAGGTTCATTATAATCCATTTTATCAGCTCCACTAGAAACTGGTCGTCGCTAAATTTTAGCGTTGACAAAGACGTTACAGTAGTGGACCACCCAACAAGTGACTGAGTGTCACGTGACCGAGTTGTATCGTGAGTATTGCTGTCACGTGACACAGACAGTTCTGTCATGTGATAAATCGTGACCTCAAAAACCAAATATTGGCCTGTCAATCGTTGGCGTTATATAGCCTGTCTGGATACGACAAGAAATATCAAAATGTACATTGTTCCCTGTTATAACCGTCTAACAATACTCTATCAGGCGTTAAATCTCAGAAGATTTAACCACAAAATGACCTTTCTCAATTCTCTCACTCTATTTTGTCAGAATTATAACATTACAATAGCTGGGGAGTACGGCAGAATGATATTTTGGAAAGTTAAGCTGTCAAGGAGTTGATATAATATTATAAAGGAGCAGCAGCAGGCAGCTCCCCTCCTCGCTGATTACTTTGACGGTAGGATGGCAAGGGGAGGTTTAATGGGAAATGCGTGACACAGTCACGAACACTTACAGACAGATTCTTAGCGTGTGTTATCAGTAAGACACGTGGTCTATAACGTGTTACGGCAGTGAGAGATGAGAGATTTGCTTGTAGGTTGTAAGGTGTGGCGTGTGACTCTGTGTTGTGGTGTTACTTGGGATTAGTTTTGTATCCGGGAGAGGTAGGGAGTTTTCACGTCCGCCTCAGGGTGATATTATCACGGTTATTCCAGCAAGCAAAACTGAAATTAAGCACGCGATTTTAACTGAATTTGGTGATTGATTGAGAGTGGTGGAGTGAGACGAGATGATAAGAGATGATCTAAGAGAGAGAGAAACTTTGTATTCGTAACACTGTAATCTGTAAAGTAGCAAGTACACTGATTGCACAAGTGTGTGTGGTCCTTCAACATCATACCTGACAATCTCATCACCTCCCAGACGATTCGTCGTCAATACCACGTGACCCAGCACTGGACACTGGTTGGTTGTGAGGGATGGTAAAGGGCGATGAGACGAAACGTCGGAGTACATCCACCACCCACCAGCCCACGTGTTATTCTGTTACCACGATAAGTGTTGCTTTGGTAACCTGCCACCATGACACATGAAGATACACGTGTGTGAGGTACATGACTAGCTGTAGTGAGAGGAGCTGGCTGTCACCGAGCAATCATCCTACCAGAGAAGCCTACAATTCTTGGACCAAATTTAGTGTTTTTGAGGTGATTCTGCTCATGGGAGTTGAAAGAACCGAGTTCTCTCTCTTAAAATACTACGTCTCAAGAATAACAGAGTTTTTCATGTGCTCAACTGTGCGTGCATTAAAACTAAATATTCCACCAGAGTAGGAACCAAGCACCGCACCCCTCCACCTTTTCACACCAGAATTTACTTGAAAACAGTTTAAAATAGCCTCTTTTAAAACCCAAAACTGTCAAGAAATCCGGGAGGTGTAAGACAAAGGACTCGTTTTCGGCAAATCCAACCTTTTGAACATAAAACCAACACATTTTCAACATGTAACAGCCTATTAAATGAGTTAAATGAGGTCCGATTTTAGAAATATTTTCATCACCAAGTTTCTCTCCCAGCACAAAGCTCCCATTGTAATAACAGCACACACTCTCTACACAATGTGCTCAGGTTGCAGAGAACTCTGACATGAGATCACGTGATACGAGGGCTTCCCACGAACAAAACTATCCCATTTCCGGTGCTGACGCTAGGCACACGACACACACGTCTAATCTGAAATTCTACCTGACCTACACCTACACTTGGTATACAGGATGAGACAACAATGAGATGGATAGAAGCAATATCATATCAAGTGAAGTTTTGGGATACGTCAAGGAAGTCTCATATTTTATTGTTTTATGTCAAGAACATATTATTATAATTTTATCATTCGTCTGCTTCCTCAATCACACAGCCTGATATGTTCAAATATTTTCTTAACAGCGATCACAGCAACAAACATTCTCAGAATTGCCAACAAACCATCGTTGCTGATATTAATACAGATTAAGAGATTAAAGATAGCTCTCGATGTTGTAATAACTAAGATTGAAATATGTTTGTTATGAATGAAAGGAGTCGTGTCCTGGTTTGTCCACGCACAATCTGAACGTTTGGTCGTACTATATCAGGGTGTATATATATATATATCTGTAATTAATGAGGGAGGGAGCGAGAGAAAGAGGGAGAAATATCCCTCAAACTATACCTACATCATCTGGTATTAATCATAATATTTTGTAGCTGCAGCTTGAAAGAGTGGTTATTCCTTATAAGGCAAGTTTGAGGCTCTTTTAACGTACAGGCACTCGGAAGTGATCTCGACATGTGTAGATTACTAATTTAAAGGGTTTTGTGAGTAATTAATATTATGTAACTTCATCCTGGTATTGTGCTTATTAACAGGATTATCGTGATCCCTCATGTACTTGGCACGGTTCAAATACTTACCAAAATACCACTCGTCTAGTATCTGGTATATTGATAAATGAAGCTGTAGGAATGCTGCGTGGTCGTCATTATGTTCCATCACCCCGGAACAGAAGAAACCACTGGTAATGTACATGTTACATGGTGGTTACTACTTACTAAGCGCAGTGAGGTGTACGGTAAACATCAATCCCATCGCCCTGAGAGTTCTGTTAAGCTGGAGACCAAGGTTCGTACACTTACCTTCTTACCATGGTTATTATCTGATTAACTATATCTCGCACTTGTACGATTACCTTCGATGTGCGGCCTTGCAGCTCAAATCGGGTAAACTTTGCTGGAAATTGAACGGTGGTTGTCACAGGGTCACGCTAAATCCGATATCATGAATTGTCCGGTAATTACTTTGAGGTTTTGACCAACCCAATTGCCGAATGCCTTACTCTCGGAAATGTAACACTTAATTGGATGAGTACGGTATAAACTCATGGTACCTGCCGTATTTCAATTTACAGCTGTGTCCATCGAGATACCTTTCTGCATTTCAAAGGTTAAACTGTTGAAGGTGTTAATGTACAATGTTTGAGAAACCAGCCAGCAATATCGCAAATGATCATATTATTTTCTTTGCACACAATCACCGACCAATAATCACTACATAATACAGGCGGGGGTGAAGGAGCAGGGTGTCCAATCTAGTAT